AGGAAGGAAGGAAGGAAGGAAGGAAGGGGAAAAGGAGGGGAAGGAAGGGAGAAGGAGGAAGGTTAAAAACATTTACATTTCAAGTAAATTTAAATTAAGACAGGGGTTGCCAACCTTTCGGATCTCAGCGACCACTAAATTCATAATTTTAAATCCCCTGGACTACTAATATGAATTCTTACAAAAGATAAATAATGTTTAGTGCAATATAAAAATGCAAATAATTTTTCTGCAGACCACCAGTGGTTCACAGATCACAGGGTTGGTGACCTCTGTGCGAAGAGGGACTCTCATAGATTAAAGAATATTGGAACTAGGAAGGGGGCAGCCAAATCAGGAGAAAAGGATACGGCTACTTTGCTCCAGTTTTAATTTTCCATGTCAAAACTAACGACGCACTGTGTGGATCCCTCGCACCTACGGGTGAACGTAAGACAACTCTCATGCCCGCGGAAGGACACTGCAGGCTTTTTTCTTTTCCTTTTTAGCAAGACCCCCAGTTTTAACGTATCTCCGATTGTTACCTCAATTTGTCGTCTGTCAGGGGAGACAGAGAAATTACACAACAGAAGAGTAGCGGTATTTGCTTTGCGGCTAATGATTGTCTAGAGGGCCCGGTTTTCCCGGGAAGAGGGGACAGAATGACATCTTGTCAAATTTCTGGCTTGCTAAATTGTTTCAAAGCTTGAGGAGATGCCCCTGGGAAAGAAGTGGGGGCGGGGGGGGGGACAGACAATGCGTCTTGGCCCCCTTCTTTTCTTGAAGAGCCATTTGGTCAGGGGTCAGCAACCCATGGCTCCGGAGCCGCATGTGGCTCTTTCATCCCTCTGCTGCGGCTCCCTGTCGCCAGTCGGCTCCACAATTGATAAGAGCTTTCGGTTAGGACAGGTAGAGGAAAAAGGGTGCCATGCTAGAAGGAGACTCTATGGTGGGGGAACTGGACTTCCGGTTGGCTCTAGGATTGAATGGCCGGTTAGGAGCTTTATGGCTCTTTGAGTTGAGATTGCCGACCTCTTCCTTTGGCTCTTCGGGCAAGGCTGAGTATTGGATTTTGATTAACCGACAGCTTTGGTTTCAAGACGTAAGTGAGCTGTTAGTCAGGTGTAAATCATCAAACTAATTCAGCGTTTCTCAACCTTGTCAACTTGAAGATGTCTGGACTTCAACTCCCAGAATTCCCCAGCCAGAATTCTGGGAGTTGAAGTCCAGACATCTTCAAGTTGACAAGGTTGAGAAACGCTGAACTAATTCAATGTTTTTTCAGCCTTGGTAACTTTAAGACGTCCGGACCTCAACTCCTGGAATTTGGTACAGGTAATCCTCGACTTACAACAGTTCATTTAGCNGGACACACACAGACACGGACACAGCATCCCCTTCCTTGTTCCAGCCCAGAGAATTGCTTTCATTTCGCTTCTCATCCAAGAGGTTCCTTCAGCGCCTCTCAGAAGCTTCTTCAGCTTCTCTCCGAGCTGAAGAAGCTTCCTGGATGAGGAGCGAAATGTCTTCAAAGAAAAACCAGAAAGTCCAGTTGCCTCTTGGGGGAAAATAAAAGCACCTTTGGGACAAACATGATTGGGATGATTGAGAATCTCCATAGATTTCCCGCCGGCTTCCCCATCGACTTTGCTTATGGAAAGCCAGCAGGGACGGCCGCAAAACATAACTGTGCAATCACACGACAACTGTGACGGCCGTCAGCACAAGGACAGGGGTTGTGGCACATTCAAACTGACGGAGGGTACGTTCGGATCGAACGGCCGTTAAATGAGGACCCCCCCCACCTATAATCAGGGCAAGGAAGATGCTCCACAGCCTCTCCTGCTCTGGCTGCTCAGGGTCCCATTTCTCCAATCGCCCCCCCCCCCATGTCCCCCCCATCTCGCTTTCTCAAGAACTTCTGAAGGCCACCTGCAATTTGCAGCTGCTGCCTGAAGATGGCGAAACAAGCCCACATTCCTAATTTCATGTAAATCAAGATTGGGGGCTTGTAGTTAAGGAGAAGATCTGTTTCAGCAAACGGAGAAGGGCTTGCAGTTAGGGGTATTTATTTATTATCTCCTGCAAACCTCAGGATGCCTACAGATGCCCTGAGGATCATGGTTTTCCCCGGCTGTTTTCCTAGAAAAAGAAGCCAAGAAATTCCAGAAAGGACGCCCTGTCCGGCTGCTGCAGTGGCTGTTTGAACCCGTGTTCAAAATGCAGAGACCAACCAAATTGCCTCCAATTTCCCCAGGGAGGCGGACAGACAGTTCCCTCCCTGGCTGTAATATCCTGAGCCTTTTTATCTTTCTTTTGCTTTTACCGTCTGCCCTGATTACTCCATTTTTAGGTTCGTCAGCGTGGCTCGCAAGAGGGATAATTGGTATTCCACGGATTAAACCGGCGGTGTAAATTATTAAAGACCTAATTCATAAAGGCATTACACATACCATATGCGGGGTTTTCTCCTCCCCTGTCTTTCTTGCTTCTTGGTGGCATCGGCTCGGTTTTGTCAAAGTCATTTCTTCCTTGGACCTTTTAGCCAGCAAGGAAAGGATCGGGGCTGTTAAGACAATTTTGCCACAATCGGGCGAGAGTTTCCCAAGAATTAATTTTCTCCCTTTTAACTGACCAAGTGAGCCTGCAGAGCCTGGAAAAAAAGACAGTCCTCTCCTCTTGAGAGACATAAGGTTGTTGTGGCCTGCCTGCTCGGCCGGGGTAGCTGGCAGCAGATTCAGACAGTGAGGAGGGTTGGGGAGGAACCTGGGCCAGTCCTGGAGTCTGGGGAAGGCTCTGAGGAGGGCTCTGTGTCGGAGGCAGAGAGGGGGCCAGGGCCATATGCCAGTTATCAGCTGCCTTCGGAGTCAGACATCAGTGGGGCAGAAGAACAGCTGGAGCCTGTTCCCAGTGGGTGCATGCACAGAGTTGCCAGGCGAAGGGAACAGCTAAAGAACAAGGACTGACGTGGGAGTAAAGGCACAGGTGGATGGTGAATAACTTTGGTCACTAAAGAAACTGGTGTAAATTGAGGACTACTTGGGCTAGACATGATGAAAATGGATTTAAAGTAGTTGTTATTGAGCTCAAACATAATATTTGCGGTACACTACTTCATGAGGAAAAAAAGAATTATTGACCAAACAAAATAAAAAAGGTTTTGTTTAGAAAGCACACACACAAACACACACACACACACACACACACACACACACGGGTGGGGTGCTGAGGTCCATCTGCCGTCCAAATTAAGAAATAAGCTAACAATTAACATTAAAAAAGAACAATAAAGTCAGGAAGCACCACAATATATTTTACAGCGATAGTAAAAAATAAAGAATGAAAGAACTGAAGCCAATTTGCTGATTCTATACATGTTTGTTTTTTAAATGTTTCTGTGTAGAATGTTAATAAAGTAATATATATATATATAAAAGCGAAAGACTCATCACGAAATGGACCAAACTGACCCTATAAACTAGTTTACAGATGCAAGAGGCTGGGTTAATCTCCCGCGGTACGCCAAACCCAAAAAACGTGACAGACATCCGTTCCATTCATACAAGCTAAATGCCTCTAAATCCTGGATTCCAGATCATCCGGATGATTTCGATTTACAACAGTCCACTTAGTGACCATTTGAAGTTACAACAGGCCTGAAAAGTGACTTATGTCCATTTTTCACACTTATGACCATTGCAGCATCCCCATGGCCATGCAATTTACATCCAGACATTTGGGTCACATGGTCCCTGTTGGCGGCTTTCTCAGCAGCAGTCAATGGAGAAATGATTCACTTAACAACCGCGTTACTCAATTTAACAACTGCAGCAATTCACTCAACAAATGGGCCAAAAAGAAGTCGTAAAATGGGCCAAACTCACTCAACATATTTCTCACTCACCAACATCAATTCTGGGCTGACCTGTGGTTGTAAATTGAGAGCTACCTATATTTGATTCTGGAAACTGAAGGTTGCAACGGGAGGCATTCCGACTTGTTAGTCCAATTAAGCCAAAGTTGGGGGTGTTCCTTTCTCACAAATGCCGCACAGCCCCTCAGGTGGAGCTGGAGGCAACACAACAGTGAATCCAGCCTGGAGGAGGTCTGTGGCATGGAGGGCTGGCCTTTTCCAGAGTGCCCAAAGTGTGTGTGTGCACGTGGGAAAGTGTGGGCGCATGCCTGAACCCCCAAAATGCAATACACCTGCAGCCCCCCCCGCATTCATGTTCCCTCCCGCACATCCTCTGCACATGCGCGGCAGAGACCCATAGCCCAGCTGGCCAGCGGGAGGCGCACGCATGGCAGAACTGAACTGGGGCGACGGCTCGTGTGCCCCATCGCGGGTCTGCGGAGTTTCTGTCCCAAAGGCCCTTTTGTTTTCAAGAGGCAACTCGGACTTTCTGGTTTCTCTTTGAAAACCTTTCGCTTCTCACCCCAGAAGCCTCTTCACCTCCGGGAGCAGAAGCGGCTTCCGAGAGAAGCTGAAGAAGCTTCTCAGACGAGAAGCGAAACCTCCTCAAAGCAAAACCAGAACAGTCCCAAATTGCGCCTCTGGAAGGGAAGGCCCTTTTGGGACAATCCTGGGAGGGAATGGGGCCTTCCGTCTCCCATGACCAGGGAGCTACCGGAAGGAGTCATTGGGGGAAGAAAAGAAGAAAAAAACGCCATGAGAATTGAAACACGAGACAAAAAAAGGCACATTTTAATATTTACAAAGCATAGCATTTGGGCCAGGAACGCACCCCACACATCTAATATAAAGAAATTCTCTGCTTTCCCCCTTCCTTGGGTCACCCTCCTACACCTTTGCAAATGGCGGCTCGCACCCCCGTTTTTAAGTGCTCCCCTCAGCTTTTGATATTTTTCAAGTATAAGATTCAAATTTGCATAGTGTCTCTGATCAGCGGCCCGTCTCCCCCCCCCACGAGGCTTGTGCCGCTACCGTCCGTTATCTTTCAGCCGCGGCTCAAGAATGATCAACCTCCGTTCAAAAGCAGGAACTCTCAGAATATGGTCAAGAAGTTTTAAAAATGTAATACTGTTTATTTTTTGCTTCAAAAACATTTTCAGCATTCTAAACATACAAAAAAACCAACGTAATGTTTGTCGCGAATTTGTCTCTCTCCTTTTTCCTGTTTCTCTTTCTTTCTTTCTTTTGTAAGTACAGAGGCGTTTTTGAACTCTTCTGCGCCTTCCCCCCTCGCTTTTAAAAGCGGACCCGGGAAGGAGATTTTTTACAGCTCTGGTTTAAAAAAACCACCCCGCTTTAAACGAAAAAGGAAAAAAAAAAAGGGGAAAAAAAAGGAATCCATAACAATTTGTTTTTTATCTCATGCCAGCTGAATTCCCCCTCCCCTCCCTTCACAACTAAGAATGGCCGCAGAAATGCTATTTCACTATATACAGAAAGACAACTTTTAAGCTAAATGTACGCTCACTGTAGTGTAAATTAGATCTACTTTCGTGGTGCACGCTTTGAGACACGGCCTCTGCGGAGGGGAGGGGGAAAAACGCACACAAGAGGCTTCCCCCCCCCATCACACCCCATTAAAAGCCTTTCTCTCCCCCCCTCCCCTTTTTTCTCAGGGGTCATCAAAGCATGGACTACAAGAATTTGTCTAGTTTTTACAAACTATAGATATATACAGTTTATAACCCAGGATTTTTCTAGCCAATAACCATATAGTTAAACACCACCTTACAAATTAAAAAATAAGATGCTTGAAACATTTTTAAATGCTTTTGTTACACCGACAGGAAAAAAGTGCACAGAGTTAGGAGAACACGAGAGTTTCCGCTTTTGTTTCCATTTTGTTTTTCTCTTCCTTTTTGTTTTTAAAAATGTTTGGAAATATGTACATCTTTGTTACACAGGCGGGGAGCCCCCCCATGGAGGAGGGTTCCTAACTACTGAATGTAAACCAGGTTAAAGAATGGTTGCTGTTGTGGTTTCAGTTGTGTTTCTGCATTTTTCCCTAGAGCGCTTTTATTTATGGACTTCCAAAAAGGCTACAGTATATTGTGATCCAAAAGAACCAAATTTGGGCTGGGGGCGTAAATCTTAATAAAGGACAAATAAGGCACCGTCTCAAGCGAGAGGCGCTGGATTTTTTTCTCTCTTTTCCTAATGGTGTTTCCCCTACTCTATGGTATTCACATGGAAACAAGGATTATACACAGTTTCTCATTCGTCGTCTTCCTCCTCCTCCTCCTCTTCATCTTCCTCATCCTCTTCGTCTTCCTCCTCCTCTACTTTTTTCCGGGCTGCTGCTGCGGTTTTGGCCGCTGCGCTTTTCGCGCCATCGAATTTGCCTTTAGACTTGTAATCTGCAACATCCTGTAATATTCAAAGAGAGGAAGTTTAGTTTGCCTTCTGCAGCGAAGGCCACGGCGCCGGGAGTTCTGGCAGCTTCAGGTAAAGGGTCCAAAAATTATCAGATCAACAGAGGTAGGTCACCTAGTCCAACCCCCCCCCCCCAAAGCAGGAGACCCTACACCATTTCCAACAAATGGCAGTCCCCTCTTAAAAACCTCTGGCGATGGAGCATGACTTCTGTAGGCAACTTCTGTTCCACTGGTTAATTGTCCTCAGTTAGGAAATTTCTCCTTAGTTCCAGGTTGAATCTCTCCTTGCTCAAGTTTCCATCCATTATTCCTCCTCTGGCCTTTGGGCGCCTTGGAGAATAGCTTGACCCCCTAACTCCTCTCTGGGGCAGCCCCTCAAATATTGGAAGGCTGCTATCCCGTCTCCCCTGGTCCTTCTCTTCCCTAGATTAGCCAAGCCCAGTTCCTGGAACCGTTCATCGTTTGAGCCTCCAGTCCCCTCATCCTCCTGGTTGCTCTTCTCTGCACTCTTTCTAGAGTCTCCACATCTTTTTTGTAGTGTGGTGACCAAAACTGGATGCAGGAATTTAGGAGTGGCCTTACTAAGGCTTTATAGAGTGGAATTACTACCTCCCTTGATCTTGATTGTATCCCTCTGTTAACGCAGTTTAGGATTGCGTTGGCTTTTCTAGCTGCCGCTGCACACAGCTGACTCCTATTTAGCTGGTCGTTCACTAAGACTGCGAGATCCCTCTCAGAGTTCCTGCTATTAAGCCTAATTAAACCTGGGTTTAAATCCGTGGCTGGTTTACCTTCAAACTTTATTCAATACTTTAAAACTGCCTGAATTTGTAAAACAGAAGGCTGCAAAAATGGACGGAGTTGGCAGAGAATGGCTAAATTGACTGCTCTGATTTAAAGAAAACAAAAACGTAATACTTTGGCTTCTACTTGGAAACGCTTCTGGACTTTGCGCTTGAGGTTTGAGAATTTAGAATGGGATAAAGCTGGACGGGACACCTTGGAGGTCTTCTAGTCCAGCCCCCTGCTCAAGCAGGAGAAATGAGACTATCTCAGACAAATGGCTGTCCAGTCTCTTCTTAAAAACCTCCAGTGATGGAGCACCCATGATTTCTGGAGGCAACTTCTGTTCCACTNACTTGAAGATGTCTGGACTTCAACTCCCAGAATTCCCCAGCCAGAATTCTGGGAGTTGAAGTCCAGACATCTTCAAGTTGACAAGGTTGAGAAACGCTGAACTAATTCAATGTTTTTTCAGCCTTGGTAACTTTAAGACGTCCGGACCTCAACTCCTGGAATTTGGTACAGGTAATCCTCGACTTACAACAGTTCATTTAGCGACTCTTCGTGGATTGTAAAAGTTTTTTTTTTAAAAAGAAAATGCAAGACAAATCACAGAAAAAAGAAGGATGAAATGGTTTGGGTTGCTCAGCCGCTTTCAACCTGAAAGCCAGTGAGCCTCCGTAGATCGATGAAGGGTTAAATATCTTACAGATTAACACAGTTGGAAGGGACCTTGGAGGTCATCTAGTCCAACCCCACATCCAAGCAGGAGACCCCACACCATTTCTGATGGCAGTCCAGTCTCTTCCTGAAAGCCTCCAGTGGTGAAGCTCCCACAACTTCTGAAGGGAACTTCTGTCCCATCGGTTGGTGGTTCTCACTGTCAGGAAATTCCTCCTTATTTCCAGGTTGAATCTCTCCTTGGTCAGTTTCCGTCCGTCATTCCTTGCCTGGCCTTCACGGTGTCATAATTTTCTATGGGGAACCTCACTGCTTTAAACGCCTCCTTTGGTGAACAGCTCCAGGTGCTGAAAAAGGCAATCATTCCAACCCTCTTTCCAGGGTCTGCTGGTGGAACATTTATTCCAAATAGCCTCCCAATCGGAAAAGCATTCCAGTTATCCGCCTCTTTTAAGTGGCAGAGGAAGCAACCAGCCATTCCATTATTCTATCTAAACATATTTTTTTTGAAAATTAGGAATTAAAAATTAGGAAAGGGGAGAGTGAATGGAGGAAAGGTTGGAAAAAGAAAAGGATTGATTTCTGACACTGCCTGTTGCAGTAGGACAGGGCGGAAACATCAAATCACAGCTTTGGGGTTTTCCCCAATAAGAAGAACAAGAAGTCACTTCTGTAAAGATGGAAGAGCAGAGTTGCAAGGGACCTTGGAGGTCACCTAGTCCAACCCCCTGCTTAGGCAGGAAACCCTACACCACTTCAGACAAATTGACATCCAGCCTCTTCTTCAAAACTTACACTGTTGGAGCATTCACAACTTCTGGAGGCAACTTCTGTTCCACTGATTAACTATTCTCACTGTCAGGAAATTCCTCCTTACTTCTCAGTTGCTTCTCTCCTTGATTAGCTTCCACCCATTGCTTCTTGCTCTACATTCAGGTGCTTTGGAGAATAGTTTGACCCCCAAATCTTCTTTGGGGCAACCCCTGAGATATTGGAAGACTGCTTTCATGTCTCCCCTGATCCTTCTTTTCATTAAAGTCCTCGACTTACAGCCGCCATTGGGAGCTGGAATTTCTGCTGCTAAACAAGACAGCTTGTTCCGTAAACTGTGCCTGATTTTACAGCCATTTTTCCTGTGGCGGTTAACTGAATCGCAACAGCCCTTAGCAATAGCAGTTAGACTTATATACCGCTTCATAGCCCTCTCTAAGCGGTTTACAGAGTCAGCATTTTGCCCCCAACAACAATCCGGGTCCTCATTTTACCCACCTCGGAAGGATGGAAGGCTGAGTCACCCCTGAGCCGGTGAGATTTAAAAAGTAAAAGATCAAAAAGTCAATAGTTATGATCA